CTTCCCTAACAGTTAAAGTTGTATAACACGTTTGGCATGCTCCATGTTATTTGGCGGATTCTAGTCGGTAAACACCACCAGAGGACAACCCATTGATTAATCATATAAAAACATATACAACCAAATGCAAACACAACATGCATGTATTCGTTTTGTCTACTTGAAGTCACCATCCTGACGCTCCCCACTATATATGTAGCATGAAAATGTGCTCAACCAAAAGCCTTCCCTAACAGTTAAAGTTGTATAACACGTTTGGCATGCTCCATGTTATTTGGCGGATTCTAGTCGGTAAACACCACCAGAGGACAACCCATTGATTAATCATATAAAAACATATACAACCAAATGCAAACACAACATGCATGTATTCGTTTTGTCTACTTGAAGTCACCATCCTGACGCTCCCCACTATATATGTAACTTTGAATGTGTGCGACTTTAAATGGGGCCTGTTCTGGGAGTGGTGGAATGTAAGGTGTGAAGGGGTTCAATCAAATCATGCTTGCCTCCTCGAATTAAACATGTGTTGTGCAAGCTACGACCTACCAAAAGCCCAAGAAAGCATGCATGTCGTTCACAGCCTGTAACATGATTCGTGGTAGCGTTAATGTTCATTGAAACGAACGCCAAAAGCTGTAACATGACGACAGGTACGTTCCTGTCAGCGACGTCTCCTAAAGCACGTCACAATGCGAACGGTAGGCAGCCTACCCAAACAGGGAAATTCAAACATTTTTCTGTTAAAAATCACACTTAGACAAAACTGCTCTATCGCACTTTAAATACTTATGTGACAACACCCTTCCAAAAAAAGACGGGTCACGAATCAACTTAGTGGCGTTAGCCGAGCGGGGCTAACGCTAGCATGCTTAGGCACTTTCCACACGGCGGCCACTTGTCGGAAGAACATTAAACTCGCTTGAGTGACCACAAACGCATCGGATAGTCCTCCTCGTTTCTTGTCTCTTACCGTCTTCAGATTGTTTTCGACCACTTCCATGTCGCCGGTCTTCACCGCCCAAGTCAAATTTGTGTCCCCCATTTTGTGCGTGTGCTTCTTAAAAGTGATGGTACACACAAAAAAAGTTAGCTTAGTCGCTAGCGGAGGGTAAAGTCTTCCGGTGGTGGCCGAAAGCGGGTCAAAGTAACCCAGTCGACTTAAAAGACTAGTCCAAAATGAGAGCGACAGGCTTTAGTTTGAACCAGACGGTAACCAAAATACGGAAGGAAGCTGAAAATAAATCTGGGGTGAAAAAGGCAAGTTAGCAGAAAGGGATCCGCCTTACTAGGACCAGTACTTCCGCTGTCGTCACCCGGAAGTAAAGAATGACAAAGGGGACACGCGAAATACTGAATAGCAATATCAATACAAAATGTTAAAATTCACCTTACGTTTTAATTCTGCTACTACAAAACAGTGTACGGTGTAACTGTTACAATGCTACAATTACTACGAAAAATCGTTCTTTTTATTATGATTAAAGGAGGTCAATCATGTAAAAGAAAATAAATAGTATTGTATGTCTTACAGCACAACCAATTGCTGTAATAATGTATTACTTTTGCTACGAATTACACTCCAATATACTTGTACTACTACTAATAGTACGATCAATATTATATATTTATTTATATTTTAGGATTATCATATATCCCAATAATAATATACATTATTTCTCGTCACAGTACAATCGTTTATAATCGTAACGCTACTTTTGCTTATGATTTACATGGTTACAGTAATAGCATGAATAAACTTTTGTAAGCATGTAAATCATACAAGGTACCGTTTAATGGCTTACTGTCAAATTATACGCAGATATACCATCTAATACAAACGAAAAAGCATGTGCACCACTTATTGATTGTCCATCGGTCCATTTTCAGCTACGTGAGACATTCAGGGATGAACGTGCCATCCGAATCCTTGAAATATTGATCCAAGCGGACAGGCAGGGCTGGAGGAAATAGTTATGACTACCTTGACCTGTCCGAGCTCAAGAAGGGGGAGGAAAAAAGTCAAACGTCTCTTTGTGATAGCATCACGCGCCTTCATTTCCTGTGAGCTAACCTTGTTGCCCGGACGAACGCTAGCAGCGTTAGTCTGCTGAGCCCTGCTGTGACTTATAGGCCCTGACACCAATGTTGCCGTGCTATCTTGACACGGGATCAGCTGCTCATGAAGAGGACGAGTAAAGAATAAATACGCCATTTTGTATATTATGATCCAGCCTCACTCCACATAGAAACTTTATAAGTTAACAGTCGAAATCGATGTTGTGACTGTGATAATAAGATCTCAGGAGTTGCTGTCTCAGTTTATCAATACCTCAGTGGGGCCTTAATTTGATTAGATCATTAATCCTACAGTGGCTTGATAATACTCACATGGTGTGAGTGTCCCTTTCCTTAACTGGCGCAAGCACCCCAAACCCAGGAAATTGCGCTGTGCTCGAAAAAAACTGTGCAAGTTCTTTCCTGTAATGATGTCCAATTAGTAACAGGTTACAGCGTATGCGTTTTTGGGCTTGCGTCTGGCATTTTGAATTCTGCCTAGCAACAAGTGACAGGGCTAATGTGCTATAGGGCTTAAATGTGCCCGAAATTCGTCTGAGCAACAAGTCGCCATAATTATATATATTTTTAAATAATTCATTCTGTCCAGCAACAAGTGACAAACCAAAACTGCAAAGATTTTTTTTTAAGGCTTGTGTAATTTTGGCGATGTTCGTAGCGAGCTATTTCTAAGTATCAAAGTGTCATTTCTTGTCTGTGTGATTGAGTTCATTTGAGTTAGAAGCTCAATGTTGAAAAATGGCAAGACAACGTGGCTGGAACAGACAGACGCCGCCGCCCCGCAGCTAATTTAATTCATGTATTCACGGCAGCGGCAAAGTTTTTGCCTGAGCAAAGTCCTAAAGTGATTCTTCTCGTCGGTGAAACGGCACGCCGCCTCCATTTTTCAATCCATTAGCGGCGCTCAGGCGGGCGGCAGACAGCGGCGGCCGCGCTACAGTACGCAACGCTGGTCACCGTAATACACTACGCCGTTTCTACACAACCTCCAGGGGGCAAGGTGGTGGCGAGGGCGGGAGGGAGGACAGGTCTTAACTCCCACCGACCGCATCCGCCATTTTTATTCAATTATAAATCTCCGAGGCTGCTCAGCACTGCTCTAACTGATGCTCCAATGTCGCAATTATACAATTTAGTCGACTAATTCCACACGCATGACTTATTTTGGGATTCAATCAGTCTGTACGCAATAACAATATCAAGTCGTAATGCAGTGAGCGTGTTGAGTCGGTAATGCAATTCATATTGAATTACTGTGCATGGTAATGGGAAGCAAAAATGGGGCGCACAGACAAAAGTAGTCAAAAACAAGTATCCATTTTGATCTCATTAAGCTGTCCATACCATCTCTTTATAATTCATTACAACCAAACTGGATGCTCATGTTATGCACAGGAATCATTTTGGGCCATATTTAATCAAGCACTCGTCTTCATGTAGTAATACCGAGTAACCGTGTACAGCTCTGGAAAAGGTAGTGAGGAGGAAATAAGCCTGGAGGATTCCTAAATATAAATACATTCCTAATTATAAACAGGCTTCCTTCACACGAAATTGACATTTTTGCTGTAAGGTTGGGCCTCTCGCCATCATTTTTAATCAATTTTATGTCCATGCAGTCTGGAATGATATACCTCGGTGGAGTAAATATACGCCGACAACTATTTATTTGGATGTCTAATCTAAACATGATATGCCCCTTGACCTTTAGTCGGCTGTAAATCACGAGATTGTTTTTTTTCAGAGGAAACGCTGGAATTGGATCACTTTTATTAACCTGGGCGGTTTCAATTTATTCTCCCGCTAAGCACTAAGATGAGACACTCGCATCTTTCACTCCCAGCTGGCCACTCCTGGAGTGGACAAGCAACATCTTGAAAATCAGCATTTAGAACTATATATATATATATATATATATATATATATATATATATATATATATATATATATATATATATATATATATATATATATATATATATATATATATATATATATGACAAATGGCACGAAGGCACAAGAGGAAACAAGTTATGAATAATTTTCCACTCGGTAGAGCTTCACGCGACCCGGTGCCATCGAGCAAAATGTCTGAAATCTCCACTGAGGCCTGCAATGTGGAGATAAAGGTGTATAACTCAAGCATGCAATGTAGTCCATTACAAGCCAGATGATGATATAAAGTGGATGGTGAGAACCTCAAGTGGTCTGAATAGCTCATTTGCGGCTGGGTGTCGATAGCGGGGCGCCCTCTAGGGGCCAGGCTATAAACACCATCTCGAACCAGTGATGGGCTACAAAATATATTTTTTTTTTGGCTAGAATCCAGAAATGTAAAGCAACAGGTGGCCTCAAAAATGTGACACAAGGCTCAAATGCGCACGATGAATACTGTCCAGCAACAAGTGAACACGCAACACTGTGCTAAAAATACGGTCAGCATGGTTACCTGACAAACTAAAAAAATAGAGATAATAATAATTAAAAAAAAAAAGTCAAGGTGCTCATAATTCACCTGTATCAGCCGCCGTCACCATTCCATTTGGAGACCCCTCTCATCCATCACTCGGATGTCGACTCCTTCCCCTGAACAGGCCTGAGGTTGTGGGGTCTCAAGCAGCCCCCGTGTGGAGACCTGATAGGATGTGACAAGTTTATTAGGCACAAATCAGGCGGGTGCGGCCATCCCTTCGCGGCGCTCCCGTGCTTTTTTTCCTGTCACGGGTGACGAGATCCTCTCCCCTCGCACTGGCTTTTCATCTATCTTTGTTTATTCAAAGCCTCTGGGGCCTTTCCGTGATACAACAAGTGAACACGCAACACTGTGCTAAAAATACGGTCAGCATGGTTACCTGACAAACTAAAAAAATAGAGATAATAATAATAATTAAAAAAAAAAAGTCAAGGTGCTCATAATTCACCTGTATCAGCCGCCGTCACCATTCCATTTGGAGACCCCTCTCATCCATCACTCGGATGTCGACTCCTTCCCCTGAACAGGCCTGAGGTTGTGGGGTCTCAAGCAGCCCCCGTGTGGAGACCTGATAGGATGTGACAAGTTTATTAGGCACAAATCAGGCGGGTGCGGCCATCCCTTCGCGGCGCTCCCGTGCTTTTTTTCCTGTCACGGGTGACGAGATCCTCTCCCCTCGCACTGGCTTTTCATCTATCTTTGTTTATTCAAAGCCTCTGGGGCCTTTCCGTGATATTATCAGTGCCAGGGAGGAGACACCTTGGTGGATTCACAAACAGGCATGCATTCGTCCTTTTCTTTTCAGCTTTGGGTTTACTGCCCCCCAAAAAACGGGCTGAGTCGAAAAGCCATACGAAAAGTGTCGTTGGATTGAGGGATGGCTCCATTAAAAAGCCCTAAAAACCAACAACCGTGGTGTTCTGTGACTGTGAGGAGAAGCTCAATGACCACCTGGAAGCCGATCAATCGTCGCGAGGGAGGTTTATCCGCAACATCTCCGCAATTTGCTGCCGTTCGATTAAAGACTCGGCAGATAAAAGCCACCAAATTGAGCGGCGTTTTTTTTTTCCCTGCCTCAGTGGTGAATATCAAGGGGCTATTCTGATAATGAGCTAAATGAGACTGCCAGTGGGGCCTGATAACCAGTACGATTCCAACGTGGGGGAAAATGGATCCGGTTGGACATTTTTGTGAATTTCTGTGGCATGTGAACAGCCTCAACAATTTCCTTACACTATTTTCCATGCCAGTGTAAACAGATGAAACCACTTTGGATTCTACTCAACACGCAACTGGAGTAATAATAAGCGGCCTAGTTTGATGTGTTGCATTGCTATGTCAGTGTAAACAACCCAAGCACGAGGTCTGATTTACAATAACAGGTCGGGTATTTAGTAGTGTCTGAACCCTCAAATGGGAGACACGGGAACACTGAGAAGAACTGAATGGTGTAAATGCGTGGAGCTGGTTGTAAACCGCCCATTCTGTCCCTATTCCTGGATTTCCACAAGCTAGCCCGAGGACTGGAGCTTGCATACGCGGCGTTGCTTTTGTTCCTTGCCGTGACAGTGCGGCTCATTTGCATAATTGTAATTGCCTCTGTGGCCGAAAATCTGACGCACCCCGCAGGTAGCGATGAGATGAGAAGCTTTTCCACCTCCTTTTCTTTCCGCTTAAATTGCCGTCTCGGGGAAAACGCTCGCATTTCCAGGTGGCCCTTCGCTTTCCCTTAATGACACCTCGCACCAGATAATTTTTTTAAGGGGGTGAAAATCAGCCGTGACTTTTTAAAATTTTTTTCCCCCCTGCTGACCATACCTTTTTCGAGACTTTTCAACCAAGCGCCCTTATTACTGGCAGGCCGTCTCCGACTGAACACACCTAGTGGCTAATGAACTAAAGTCACACTCACAAACAGCATCCGGAAATTTGGCGAGTGAGGAAGCGGGAAGGCAGTCGGCGAGCGGGCGGGCCGGCGGGGGAACCAAATTGCATGTAGCCTTCACTCGGAGATCAGCAAGCTCGACACATTTCAGCCTCTTTCTGGTGGGCGATTAGGAACCTTTGAAGGAGGCCGATTGACATCATTTTCATGTGAAATGTGCTGATGAGCGGAGGCGCTTTTCTGGGAAGTAACTCGGGAACCCCCACAAGTTGGGGAAAATGCCAAGTCAAAAACGGAATCTGACATCTATACTTGTTACTGACGCCAATGTCACAATTTTTCCCCCCAGCCCCGTAAGCATTCTTTTTCGCTAGATCATCTGTAATCGTTTCGTGAGTTAATCTGCGAAACAATTTCTGCTACAATATATTGATATCATGATGCATCTTTGCGCTACACTTTATGATATGTTGCTGATGTCACTGGATTAATTATTGATGATGTCGTGTATAGCAAGCTACTTAACAAAATAATAGATCGAAATCGCACAAATGCCGCATGGGGACACAATCGATGCCTTCGCAAAAGCTTTTGCTTTGATGTTCGCGGCCAGACCGAGTGGGGGCATTTCGACCATTTTCAGCTCGACTGCTTCGGGGCTGAATGTCACCCAGGAAAATGTCGGGATGTTGAAGTGGCTTCAAGAAGTTTGGCAAAGGCTGCATTCATTACTTCTACTCTGAAAATATGTGGGTTTTGGTGGACTGGATTGTCAATCTTGCGGCCTGCGGGAAGAGGGAACCCTCTGTGATGACACCCGGAGCTAATTAGCCAGAGCAGGCGCCATAAAATCTTTTGTTGTTTTGTCTTTTTGTGTACGATAGGACGGCCTTTGTTTTCCTACTTGTGTGAATATTTCCCAGTATCCCTTCCAGGAGGCTTGTTATTGTGTGCGCGTGTGTGCGTGTTGCTTAGCCCTCTAAATTTAGCCTGACTAGTATGCGCAGGGCTCTCTCCCTCAACTCCCAATCAATACTGGATGCACCTACGGGGACTTACCAAGCAAAATGGCTGCGGGCGAAGTCCCTTCCCACCCTTTTCTATATATAAAATTGGCCTGGCATATAATGAAAAACATTACCTGCCACCGAGGTACATAACGCAGGAGTTATGGAGCGCCGCTGCAAAGAATGATCTATTTACACCAATTGTATTTTTACACGGGGGGGTTGGGGGAGGTCATTTATCTTGGCACCGGGATAGAGATAAATCATAGCTTTGCTTTGAGATAAAGTTGGACCAAATCACTTGATAATAGCCAGTTTAAAAAAAAAAAAAAAAAAAAAGTGGGAATAGGCCCACCTGACCTCGCTTGCTGCGGCCTGTCAGCCGGTGAACAGAAATGCAACCCGGCTTGAGTTTCTACGCAGCTAAATAAATATGACAAACTGGTTAGCGTGCAGGCTGCGGCTCCGGGAGGCGAGGCACTGCCAGGAGATCTGCGGTACTCGCAGCTCTTTATCCACCGGCAGCGTACCCGGTGTGATGTCACAATGTGGCCAATTTACATAGCAACCACCCCCACACTGAGATTCCCTGCCCATGAATCGGAAGCTGGGTTGGGCGAAGATCCAGATCCCCTTTCAAGCAGATGACACTGTCTGGCACACTACGTAAAAGCCAAAAGGTAAGCGGAGCGGTATTGAGTTTTATTAAATGCACAAGAAAATACACAGTAGCACCGCTATAGGGGCTGCGGGCGAACTAGACTGTGTGAAACGCCGTCACGCCAAACCCGCAACGTAAGCAAGGCTGCGTTGGATGCACAAAAAAAGGACACTTTACAGTTAGTTCAAGTTAGCTTCTGATAAGCAACACTAACTTGATTGCTTGGCTAGTTGTCAACGCGGTAGGGCTGGAGAGTTAGGAGCTCAACTCTCCACCCAAATTCTAGTAAAGTACAAGCCGCTCCCCAATTTGCAATACCTTAGCTCCCCCCCCCGCCCCCGGCGGCATTGAAAACGGATCCCACCATTAGCCCAGCGAGGTTAGCGAATGCATCATAACGAGCAAATATTGGCAAGGTGATGTCACGTTTTGATCCTTGGGGTATTTTGACGAAAGCAGACTTATATATGTGCAGTACTAGGACACCCGGGAACTGCTTCAATGTGAATATTTTGCAGAAAAAGTCTGTGGGTCGGTTCCGGCTAGCTAATGAAGCGGACTTGCTATCTGGCTGACTAATGAACGAGATGAGGCTGGCTGAAAAACGAGCTGACTGGCCGCGGAAAATAAAAGGGACTCCTTGGCTCTGAATTCCGTGATTGATTTCACTCCTCAATTCCCTCCTCTAAATTCTTCTCCCTTCCTTTAATTTGTTTTGCTACTCGCGGTCGATGCGCTCCAAATGTAGCCAGGCATCAGCTCGCAGGTGCGCGCGTCAATTAAACGAGGCTCTAATGGCGATCGAGCGAGGTCACCGGTTAACTTAGCTTAAGCAGCGGATTGGAAATGAAGCGCGTATCAAATCAATCAATACATCTCGACAGTTGGGCCTCCCAAAAAGTTTGATGAAAGCAAAGAGGTCAGGCTGGAAATAGACTTGATACACTTGATTTGTCGGGCCTGGAAGTGCAGTGGAAATGCTCATACAAAGACAGCGCTTCACAGATGACATGCAGAATAGGAAGAGATGTCATGCATTTTGAACGTCTGAGACAGACCACATGCTAACAATTTCGGCCAGTTTTGTCTCGTCAACGAAAACGCACATACGTCATGTCATATTTCAGTCGTCAAAGAGCCCCCCCGTTTAGCTCGTCATCGTTTCATTATTATCATGGCAAAAAGGGGCGTTAACGAAATAATGTCATCAACGTTGACGAAAGCAACAATGCTGTGTACCTGTGTGTCGCCTCCTAAATGTTCTTTTTGTTTCATGTTTTCTTGTTTTACGGTACTCGAGAGGCCCATACTACCCGAGACCAACTCCTCGTGTGTCTCGACCATACTTGGCCAATAAAAATGATTCGGATCCTGATTTTATGTTGGGCCGCTTCCCATGCTGGAGCTGCTGTGGGGATGCTGGCTGAGAGAACACAAACAACTATCTTGTGCAGCCAAAGTAGTCACTGTTATGATACACTTGAATGCAAATGGCATGCAAATGAGCACAAGTGTTGAGGAATTGGGGGGGAAAGTCTTCAGAGCAATTAAAATGATGAGCTCTCTGTAACAGTCCAACACTCCTGTGCTTTGCCAACACCTAGGGTGAATCCCATAACTTTTTAATAACCGCCGCAACACAACACAACACAACACAACACACAGCGTGCAACTTCCTGCCTCCCGGCGTGACTTTTTGACCCGGGCGGAATATTGCGGAAAGTTGCGTAATAGAAATAAATAAATAAGACAAGAAAAAGCCCCCAGGAGCAGTAATGGCTGACCGAGTTGCTCGGAACATTCATCACGCAGATCAACACCACCTGTTTTCTCTGGTATGCATCATGTCGTTTCCAAATGCCATTTCGGGGATTGACTGACTATTGATTGGCTTGTTGGTTGACATTATTCAGGACGGACATATTGATTGGAGAGAAATTTACCCCTGATCCAACAGTGTGTGGTCAGAACAAGTTCATCACAAAAGGTCAACATCGGCGTTCACCTGATTTATTGATCGCAGTGTACGAGACGAGCCGAGCTATGGCAGGGTGAAGCTGCTCCGGGGGGGGATAAACAGTGAGGCTATGGGCTTTAATTGCATGTGGAATACCGCAGAAGGCCGGGATTTGCTTAGGGTGTTTGAGCCAAGAAAACATTATCGCATCACTTCTGCAAGCGCACATAATTATGAAAACGCGGAATTTAGTGCTGGCCATCTGTCCAAATGTCATTTTGCCAAGTGAACCTGAATTTGTCGAGAATATAAGGCTCCAAACTTGTAGGAATGGGACATTTTAAGGAATCGTCCGTCTTTGGACAAAGTGACCCGAAAATGTCCGCTTCTCACCAAAACGACAGACATCCACTCTCTTTTCAGGCCTGGCTATTTTATTATTATTTTTAAATGTCTACTTATGACAGCCACGGCCACCTCATTTCACTTAACATCCACTGCTGCGAGACGCCCTTGCGGAAAGGACACAGATGTCCAATATGCAAGTTTTCCGACCTCCAGTTTTGGCTTGATACAATATGGCACCCATGTCGGTTCATTTAAAAGCAATGTGAGCCTGAGAGGATGCCTGGCATGCTTATCTGTATGCGGGCAGCCTTTTTGCTTCCAGGAACGCGCAATCACAGCCCTATACAGCCGCAACGACTTTTCAACAAAACCAATGCCATTTAGCATTGGGGGAGATAAGCAAAAGGGGGCATGCGTGAAATAGGCAAACAAAGAGAAGGGAGGGTCCCGGCAGCCGCAGTGGAGTTAATCTCACTTCGCGGCGGGATTAGGAGTCACGCTTGTGTTTTCCCAAAGAAGAAGGAGGCGGTGAAGGGCTCGCGTATGAACAACATCCCCGATGAGGGGCCACTTGAGGCTGGGGAAAACAGGCAGACGTTAGTTTGTCGTGCTTTTAATTTCACGCAGAGATGGTCTGCTTCTTTTCCCGACGTTGTCACACATGTCGAACGTCGATCCACCGTGGCACTGCAAGCACACGTTCCTGTTCCCGTGTCAAACTTCCAGCTGCATCTGAATTTCTTGACACAAGTGGTGCTAACCCAAAAAGAGGCGCACAATTTGAAATGTGATACTGCACGACACCCGTAGCTCATTTACATAGAAAACCTGCATAACACCTATAAAACCTGCTCCTGCAAACCACCTTCAGTTCCTTTACTAAGCAACTCGTACCACACAAAAAACATGTTCCTGTGCAATACATACAACAGGGTTACACAGAAAAAAAAATGTTTCTGCACAAAGTTTTCCTGTTCAAGGCGAGGTCACCGCCACCTGTTCCTGCACAATAGCTCAAGGTGGCTTACATCGAAAACATGCGCTTGCATGGCACCTGACGATGCTTTACCTAGAAACAACCTGTTCCTGCACAACACCTAGAGTTAGTTTAGAGAGAAGCACTTGCCTGTCCAACCCTTGCTGGTGGTTTATCCAGAGTACATGTTCCTGCACTATCTACAGGTGGTTGCGTGCGGACCATTAATCATGCGGCGTGGCCACGAACGCGCGGCTGTCAAGCGGGTCCGGCGCGGTAATTAACAAACTCATCACTGCTTTCACGCGTCCCCTCGTGCCGACGGTAGCCGCGTCTAATTACGCGCCGGGCCGGGCGGCGAGCACAATAAATATTTGGAGGGATGTTTCAACATGGCAGCGAGTGCCAGTGATGAATTACGACGCGGACATATTGTTTGTGGCGGCGTGATTAATTGTGATTTCAATAAAAGAAGGCTCATCCTCATTGTCGGCGCGCCTGTGTAACACGTTTGTGCTTGCAGATAATGAGGCGGCTCTTTTCGAGCAGGCTTTTGGGAGGCGAAAAAAAAAAAAAACGGTGAGCTGCGGTGACGTGTGAACAATAGCTGTGGATTGTACATACAGCTGTATATTTAAATATCGAGTCCACATTTTAAAGTGGAACGATTTGATTCGATGCACCCAAATCGAATCTAAATTTCAATCTAAATCGATTTTCCGAGTCAAATGTGTTTCCATTCGCCCCTAATTGAAACGATATGTCGAGGTGATTGTTGCGAGATATTTGTGTTCTCCATTACGGGAGTTTTTCAACAGTATCCGTCAGGGCTCGGTTTCAAACCCTCACAATGTTCCCGTTACCAAGCCTCAGCAGCCCTTCCTCGCTGGCGTTTTGCAGCGTAATTACCAGACTGATTAATCGAGCTAATATCCACCCTCGTCCCGTGCAATGCAACACCGTCAAGCGGCCTACGAGGCAATAAAATCATCCGGAGCGTTGCGTGGTTAGAAATAACCTTGGCTAACGAAAGAACTGCACTTTGACTAATGAGGTCACCTCAAGTGCTCATTAATTACAATCTTGCGCATGTTTAAATGTGTATTTTATTGACATTGTTAATCTCAGGGTTAGGGCAAGGGTTATGGTTACGCCACACAAATTAAATCTCGATAAGTTATAATGCAGTACTTCAGATTTTCCAGATTAGCATATTTAAATATGTCTTTTATTGACATTGTTTTGTTCCCACTGGCAGGCCAATATTATCAGAACCAAACACAAGCAGGGAGCGAGGGAGGTGTCGAGGGGGCCGTTTGTGTCCACGCTTACGCTGACCTTAATTAAAAAGGGGAAAAAAGTTAATTAAGCAATGAATGGCGGCAAGGCGGAAACTATTACACAGCGACTGCTTTCTGCTCGATGGTGGACGCCACAGCCATTGACCTTCATTCCGCTGGCAGAGGAAAACAGGTTATCCGAAACAGAGCA